TACACGATTATAATTAGCAGCCGTTTATAGTGCAACGAAAGAAAAGGTAAAAAAACGTGGGTAAAACACTTGCATCTATTTAAAGTTTAATAGTCAAATAGCTGCATCTAACTGCGAAGCACAACTGAGCTCGTTTTCAATATATTCCATAACTCGAGTCGAGACATTTGGCGTTACATCTTCTATTTCTTGACGGATGTTGTGCTTCAGCTACTGTAACTATTATAGATAGCTCTATACGAATAAGAAGAAATCAGGAACTATAAGATCTGGTGATCTCGAAGGTCAAATCGAGAAATTATTTGCCCAGGGAACATGTTACGCAAAATGACCATTGTCTTTCTGAATGTACGCACAGTCCCGCGATCCTGTTGCAACCATATATTGTCAGTCCTAGGACTTCCAATTGAGGTGGCAAAAAGTTATCCAGCATTGCTCTATAACCGTAATAGACGTGCCTTCCTTGTTCTTAAAGAAATGTGAATCAAATTTAACCTTGACCAAAAATGCCCTACTATATAGTGACTCGTGAAAGAGGTAGTCCTTTATAAAGAATACGAAGGTTTTCTGTACTCCAGTAGCGATAATTCTGCTTATTTGCAAATCCACTTAACTTCAAATGAGCTTCGTCGGTCATAATCAGTATTGCAGCTTCAAAATCACCTTAGGGACATCCGTAATATGCCTAATTGTGCGACGCGTTGTTTTGTTGACTTTGGATCTTCTGCAAAGCTTTCTCTTACACGCTGGATATTTCAGATAAAACAATGACATCCCTTGTGGCTTAGGTAGTGATATTTTCCGTGTTTCCTTTCTGTACTCGTTTATTGTGACTTATTGTAGTGAGTCTTTTAGGTGGAGACACAAGAAATTTTCCTGTTGACAGACAGACACAGAGACCAGTTAAACCGACCAAACGAATAACTAACCGATCGTTCAACTGCTGCAGCCGCCCCGTTACTTGCTTCTCCACATGAAACAAGTGACTCGCAAGATAAACTTTTTGTAAGGAACATCTACGTATGCCCAAGTTTCCCAGTTGCTAATCAAGACGAGCGGCACAAATAGTCGAAAAAAATTTCCTTAATAATAGACCATTTTTGAAATTTTTGACATCCCAAAATACATCAAAGCTATTGAAAGGTTCTTAGTAAAGTTTCGTGGAAATAAATTTAGCTGTTTCCAGAATCTTGGTTTGAATTAAGTGGAGAAAATTTTAGTTAAGGAATATTTCTTGTTTACCGTCACACTTTGTAATTTTTGTTTCGAAGATATCGCTTCTACGTATATTACTGTTGCTATCCCACCGCTGATGATTCTTACAACTACACTTCGTTAGTGTTGCTTTTTCCTATATCTACTTTTTTCTGGAATGCGATTTCTAAAGTTTTTCCTGAGAAAAAGGGTGGCCATCCCAATAGAGATTTCTTAATTAATTATAAATATTCTTACTGAAAACAAATCTAACAGCTGCATTAACATTTGTGCGTGGCTGCTCTTCTATGACATGCACTAAACCACGGAATCGTGCTAGTTCGTAAGAAGGAATTTGATTTGACGGGAATAGACAAATAACATTTTATGAGCATTAACCTCTTCCGAAACACTTTCCGTTAAGAGCAATATACAATTACGACATAGAGGGCTGAGAGGGGGGTGAGGTTTGCACTTGTGCAATAATTGTTATGGGGCCATCAAACGTTGCGACAACGGAGTTGGAGATTATTATACATAATAAAACTGTTATGTTGTGTTACTCCTGTCGCCGCACACACCCCTGTCCCAGGCTGGCGGCGGCGGTTGTGACCAGGGGTGGTGTGGTGTGCTGGATGGGTGGGTGGTGTGTTCGGCCCCTGGGATAGGGTGAGGAACGAAAAGCTTGCGGTATCCAGGGTGGACACTATCGATCAAATCCAGGCCTGCATGTAGGTTCGTTCGAACTTTGTAACTGTGTGTATGAGTGTGTGTGTGTGTGTGTGTGTGTGTAGGAAGGAAAGTGAAAAACACCAAGTTTTTCCAACCGGCACTTTTCCCCGTACAGATGTTTAATATTTCTGACACTTAATCAGAAGCATTCACAATAACACGGTAAAACAATTTACTTTGTATGAAACATGCACGCTGCTTTATTTCCATCAGATTTTTACTTATCCCAGTTTGCCTAGGCCTGGATACCAATGTAAAGCAGATTTCCAAATTTCGTTAAACTTTTTGTATGTTGCTGCATATCCCTTTTTAAGGATTGAAAAATGTCCCCCCATAGAAAGTGGGAGTATTGGAGATGACACAAAAACTCAAACTTCTTTCTCTGGTATATGAAGAAACCGTAGTAATAAAAAGTATGATTATAAAAAAACCATTAATAAAATTGAAATAAAATCATAGCTGGAGTGTATTAATAAGTTATCTTATCTTAAATTAACTTCTATCAAAATTTGTGTATTTTCTTTTGAAACAAGTTTGATTGTAACGACGTCTTGAGTTTATATTCTAAAGAAATTATACCTTCTCCCTTTTATTAATTGCCCTTGAATTGTAGATAATCCTATCAAACTCGTTTTCGAAAAAACAAACGTTTTCAATCTCATACTACATATAATAAACTCATTTTTTTTCAGTACAGCATTATGTAGAAAAAAAAATTAAATAAAACTCTATTTTCCACTTGTTCTTGTATTTGCTACTTACATTGCCTTTCCGGGAGACACAAGGCGAGAATTAAACAAGGAAAAAGGAAGTGTTTGACAGTTGTCACGAATGAAGATAAGAAAATGTAATTACGACGCATTTTTGAAAAACTTAATTTATAATTCATGAAGCGTAGTTTCGTCTTTGAACAAAAATACGAAGAGAGAGAAAGAAGGAAGGGTCGTAAATGCTCTAAATTGTTCGTCATTCTGTTTCATTGAGTTTTCCCCTTTTGAATAAAAAGCCCCAGCCTCCATAAAACAAGTCATTACTCTTTACACCAGTATTAGTAGGACTAAATTGTTTAACTTGCAGTTTAACATTTAATTTACCGTTTTATACTTTTAATGATAACATCACCTCCTGTTCTTTTGATCACACAAAAAATGAAAAGCTTACAATGCAGTGCTTAATCGGGGACTATAATTTACCTCCCCTAATTTTTGGGTGTTACACCGTTAAAAAATATGCCGTTCAAATGACATTTTACTCTACCACAAGTTTCAGCTGGGAAGTAAAATTTGGCGTATAAAAATTTCGTTTTTTCTTGGGATATCATCGTCATCAATCCGAAGACGGGATGGACAGCGTTCCAATTATCCGGAAAACTGGAACATCCAACATCCTTAGCTATTGGCAAACAGTTATCTAATCTTTACTCCTATTTCTGGTTCTGGTATGTCTCTAACTACTCGCTCATGTCTCATAAGGTATAAAATCTTAAAAAGTTGTTGTAAAGACTATCGTGTAACGTATATAATAATTTGTAGTCAACTTTTATTCAATCAACTTGATTATTGATTAATTTGGAAGACTTCATTGACAGAGAAAGACTTGAGTTAATGATTATTTCAATTTTCGCTTTCGTGACGATTCTTAACGGCGATGGTCCGAAGACTCGAACAAAAGCATTTCCCAATTAATTGTGTTGATTATACATATCACACCACTATTTTCTTTTGCTATTAGCCACATACGCATTGTTTTTAATCATCATACCTTTAACGAGAAGAAAATTAATAAATAAAAATTTGGTTATTTTTAAAGGCAGGCGCGATGGTTTGTCATAGTTGCGAGTGTTCTTGAGCAGCAGAATCGCTCAGAGCTACAGCAGCTACTGTACATGTTTATGCGGGTGAAGTTTTGAGTGCAAGTGCAAACTCTCGTTTCCCTGACCCATGAAGCACAGTTATCGACGACCATTAACCCTTAAGTGCGCCATAAAAGCAAACCCATCAAAAGTTGTCTCGCTTTAGCCACTTAAATGCACGGTTACTGCAAGAATCGTTAAAGTCTTCCATACTCGTGGAGGTTAGTATTTGAGCTCGTTTATTTCTTGCCACGTACGGGAATCAGACTCAACCTGCCGGCTACACACACCTTGACGAGAAAATCTAACGCGCCCACACAATAAACCGTATTGACTTTGATCCATCGCTTTTGTAGAACAATAAATCGGAAGAAACGGATACCGTGGCTCCGAAACAATATTGTTACCAGTTTATAATAAATATTTTTCATGAAATCGTTTAACACAATTGAAATTCTTGTTCTTGTTTTAAGTTAGTTACGTATTTATTCTTTCGGTTTATAATTACTTGTCGTCTTAGTTAATGAATTTCCTGTACATTATTGACCTGTGTCGCATTTGTTTCGAAATTATGAAGTTTGTGTCAAAACGAGTTGCTCTTAGTTTATCTCTACGTTTGAAGTTCCATCGAGTGCTATTAACCGCAGAGGATTTTATTTTACGAGATCGTTTTTCCCCGGATCAACTTTGGCGTTTCATAAAATATAGAGAGAGGCCCTTCCACGTCGTTCTTTCTGCCTCGGCCTTTGCGTTTTCTCCACGTTCCGTCCGTACGTCCGTCGCACCCTTGGAAACCTTATATTAGCGAAAGCTTGCCACCACACGAGCTTTCACCCCTCTGTACCCTCTGGCGGATCCGATTCGACCCTTCAGAACAGGAAAGGGTCATCCACCCACACTACCGCGTGGGTGGGTAGGTGGACATCGGAGATAAGGGTCTACAATGACGAGCCTGCTGGGGACGAACAAGGCCCTCGCCTTTTCCTAATCCCCTCTCGTCTCCTTGCACCCCTTCCTCCCATTCCAACGTTCGTTTCTGCGGTCGTTTTCTTTTTCTCTTCTTACGTCCAAGCTTTATGTAGCTTCCACAAAAAATGTTCGGGAAAAGAACGCAAAAGTTAGAAATAAAGGATTTCAATTCATATATACATGTACTGCGTATTATTTACTCTTGTAAATGGAGTTTTTGTAATACTTTTTTAGAGTTAGGATAATTCGCAAGTAAAAATATCTGTTCTTTAATATTGCATGATAATACACTAATTATTCGCTTAGAGAATTTCAAATTGTCTACGATCGTCCAATAAATTATCATGTTCACTCCTCTTCTGTAGGGGGTTGGACATCTGGGAGTTCGCATTTTTGGGGAGTTTCCTCTGAAGCACCTTCTTCTTGACTCTGATCGTCCAATAAATCGTCGTCGTCCTCCTCGACTTGTACGTTGAACTCGCATGGTTCGGGAGCTTTTAAAGCACCTTGCTTCTGACTCTGGTAGTCCATTAAATCGTCATACTCCTCTTGTGTGAGGTCTAGGCCATCTGGGAAGGAAAATCTACTTTCAGGAATTTTCTTTTTCCACACATTCTTTTCATAATCATAATCATGAGCTATTCCCAGAATTGGGTTATTTTCCATCCGTAATATACGCTTCACTTGTTGTTCTTTACTCTCCAATGTGAAACTGTCCGGATATTCTTCATAAACTAAAATTTGAATATACACAATCCAAATTTATCTATTCAAATATTGTTTGTAATTATTGCCTTATCCAATTCAAACTTGTAAGTAAACCTTATTATTTAGAAATTTATGGAAGTGGAAGTTCCTTTTGTTAAATTTGTCAGCATTTTCAAGGGGGATTTGACGACATAAGAATCTTACCGAACAATTTTTGGAGTATATAAAGCCATAATCCGGCGGACATCAGCATAAGAGCAACACCTATAATCCCCATCCATTCTGTAGAAGGAGCTAAAAATTCTGAATATGTTGATCGAAATGAGCTTCGGTAAATTTTCTTTTTGTCTTCTTTAGATAATAAACGCCAATCACCTCTTTCTCTCTCTCTTAATGCCTATGGATAATTGACTTCAGATAATACAAAATTTAAGATTAAATCTTTTCACTAAGTCTGATAGATGTATGACTTTCAAGTGCCCTTTTTCGTTCATTGGGGCATAATTTTAATGTGTGTAAGTTTCATCATTTATGTACCTGAATCTCTGGAGTAGTTTCTTTCCATCGGATTGATGGAAACGGAAAATATGGATGATCCGTATACATCGGTTGCCCATTCATACCGAATCCAACGATATCACGGAGTCCAATCATTCTTCTGATCACTTGAGGCAATTCTGGCTTTTTATTCAGTGGTGGTATATACGTGTAATGGTGTGTAAATTTCTTTTCAGTTCTGTGACATGTATCCATCATCTGACGCGAGGATACTCTTCTTATATATTTTACAAGAAGCATTTTTAAAGTTTCTTTTAATATGAGGTTGTCAAATAGTGACACTTATTTGTCATTGACATAAAAGATAGTTAAATCATTTCATCAATTTGCGTTGATTGCTCATGTTAATATTTCGGCTCGCCGTTTCCCCATACGATACGCTAAGCTCGCATTTTGAGAAAAGATCTAGTTTTTATACTATCCACTCTTTTACTTCTGTTTCCTGAGTTTTTCATGGATTGCTTTTTACTGTGGTGAAAATTCAGGCCGCAATTTGTGAAGTGACAAAAAAGTCAAATGATGTTTTATCTATAAGCTATAACCTTCCCGTAATAATATTATACAGTATATGTAATACTGAAAAACGCATTAAAGTATATCCTGTGTTCACAAATAGATTTCTAAAATGAATTTCTAAAAGTAGGACTCCAAAATCGCAAGTTTGCAAAATTACCCAAACTTTTACATAGGAAAATCATGCAGCTACCATACAGCAGGTCGTACAAAACACAATTTACTAACAAAGGATGCAGTATGTCATCGGCACGAATCTATCGAAAAGTTTATTTTTAGTAAATTGCTCCTTATTGATCTGATATGATCCAAACGAAAATATAATAATCCATTCGGATCTAAGGGGGTACAATTTTTTTAAAAGGAAATGAGTTATACACCAGGCTGCCTGTCCATTATTCGATGTTATTACAGCGATTGTGGCGGTTCAAAGTTTTACGTCCCCGATCCAATTTTAGCGGACGTTGGCGCTGCTGCCTACCAACGCACGCCTGTAAGTGTGAGGGTGTAGGAACAAAAGGGAGTGGGTGCTTGACAGTCACGCAAACACACCAACCACCCTCGCATATATGACATGTGACAGAAGCACACAGGCGACGGCGACAGGCACTGTTAAGGCTGCCACAGCCGCGTTTTAATGGAAAGATGTGATGTAGGGCTTCTCTCTGTCGCTCGCTGTCTCTGGGTGCGCACCGAATAAGTAAAGTGTTACAGATTTCGGAACTTTTAGCCGCATTCGAACACACTACTGTGTGCGTATAAATGCACGTACGTGAGGGCTACATAACGCCCTTTTTCAGGGCCATTTCAGCCCTAGCGCGGCGCCGCAAAGTCTATTAGCCACTTTATCTGGATCTAATAAGAAATTTAAACTGACGAAAACAAAACACTATCTAGAGCACACAGGGTCAGGCGTTAATCAAATTTGTCCTGAAATGGTTACATTGTATAATATAATATATGAAATATTAATCTGAAAATTCATTTTTGAATTTTTTACCCACTACACGTTACCTCAAATTAATGAGGGAAAAATTGTCACCTCTCGTAGTTTAGTGGTCCGAACATTGGTGCGTAAAGCTAAAGGTCCCGGGTTCGATTCCCGGTGAGGGTGTGACAACAGCAAGAATTTTTCCCTCATTAATTTCAGGTAACGTGTAGTGGGTAAAAAAATCAGAAATGAATTTTCAGATTAATATTTCATATTAAACTAACTCACTTCTAAAAGTTGTCTAAATTGTATGTATGTTTAATATAATATATTATATTATCACGGCATGAAATATATATTCAGTGTACGATTGAGTTATTAATACCACTCCTAAAGGAAGAAAGAAGAGCTAAGATTGTATGAATGATCTTTGACAATCTTGCTGAAAGATATTCCTGAATAATGCTTAGTAAAGTTTAATGAGTTCCATCCTAGTAACAAGCAAATCAAATTTGTAATAAAACGGCTTCAATGTATGTAATACATACATATGTATGTAGATATATATACTGCTAACTACGGTTAAATTAAAGGAAATTGTTTCTGCTTGTAGCTTCTCTTATTTCAGCGAAAGTTTAGTGGGGAAGGTGCTGACTCATACTTGTCGATGGGGGTAGCGAACTTCAATAATGAAGACACCCTTACCCTAGCTTTAGATGCGACTAATATAATGAAAAATAGAGACGTCTCAAATAATGCTTAGCCGACAATTGGCACAAATGCCTTACTAATAATAATTCCTTTAAATAATCTCTCACTGAAATAATGAATGAATAATAATTAGGTAATTGCTTCTCAGGATTTGCTTTTTTAGATTTTAAGGAGGAGGATAACAAATTCTCGTTTTAGCCTTTGTTTATTTTTGTTTTTAATAAATAGTTCCTCCTTTCATTATTCCTCTTCGATGTTAATGTTTTTTAAATGCCTTTTTGTGCCTAAAGGATAAATGAATGTTTACATTTTTCTTCTCTTCTTGAACATGAGAGTGATAGCAGGATTCCGTGGAGGCTATTCTATATCTCTTCTTCGTGAATATTGACAGAAATAATTTTCCTTTTTTGTGTTCACAAGTCACTGGATAATACCTCCATATTAGGAAATGACGGGAAGGGAGTAAATTGCAGAGGACTTTGGAACTTAAAAACCGGTATATGAATCTATCTATCCATTTTGGGAGAGTTTTCCAATGATATCTCCCACATGAAACAATTTGAGCACCACATCCTTTATAAGGATAATTTTTTAGCCCAGTACTATACAGATCTAAAAATGTAGGAACTACGAGGATGTTACATGGAGCATATGTACCGGTTGGACCGACAGATAAGACGGAACTTTTTTTTTGTTTTCACCGTTTGGTTACGGAACCTTAAAAAAGTCGGCAGTGATGTTGGAATTAAATTTATTTTTCTTTTCCTTTTTCTTTATTGTTAAGAATGTGGTCGCAAGTGTCTTGCCGGACAGACGTAGGGTTATCAAAGGGTTTGAGGTCGTCGCAGGATTCTTTTCTTTGACATCATATTATGGCTTTGGGAAATGTCGCGCCAGTAGTAGGGATAGAGTCGCCGCGGTTGTAGTTCGGAGCGACGGGATATGGCTGGGCGGGGAAACACTCCTTCAGTTGCGTTCTGTAGGTTTTGCGTGTAAGGTGGCAGGCCATTATATTGCTCTGTCGAACTTGTCTGTACGCTCACTACAACAATTTATACATGTATACACGTACAGAAATACCTTGCTAAAAATAAACCTTAGGTTCCATACACAACTACCAAAATCCTTAGCGAGTAATTACCTGCACAGATAGACGTTTCTTCCATTAACGACAGTGTCGATTTTTCACAACAAATGAACTGAGTGAGTAAACATAACCTTGTCGTCTTCATCGTCATCCAGTCAGTATTATTAGTGAAGTGTTTGTGAAGAAACGCTCGTCGTTGTATGCAACACGTCTTCTTAATTTACATTTTCGTCTCGATACGATTTGCCGGCATTCTTTTCAAATGACGTACGAATCCAAACTTTTATGAAGTTCCTAAGGTACGTTCGTGACGTCAGGCAATGTGACCTACCTCAACTTTAGATACAGTTATTTGGCCGTGATTATACATAAACACACACCACAAACACACACATACACGTATGTATACAGTATCCTGTTTTGTGCATGTTCTGTGAAGTGGTCGTCGAATTGCGTTTATGAAGGTTCGATAATCTCGTCGACAAACGAAAATAGCCCGCCGAAAACGCATTCAAGAATAGAACCATCACTATGTCCGCTAAACGCAAGTCATCTACTGTTATTCAGCATCACAAGGTAAGTCACCTGCTTACCTAATAGTCTTCAAAGTTACTTTTTGAATGTCTTCCATGTCGATTGTGTAGTCCGCTTTTATTTGATATTCCCCATTCATTAAGGACATCCGTAATTTGCGGTCCCCTCATCAAAGCAATGCAACAAATTGGCGAGTCTATTCACTGATGAAAAGAATCCATGCGTTTTACAATTTTAGAAAGTACGATGCCGGCCGATACTTTTGAATACATAAAGGACCTAGCAAAGGTCTAGGTACCATCATCATCGTAAAGTCGTCAGTCCTAACTAAGACTGGTTGGACACACACCTCCATTCTCCCCTATCCTGAGCTAATCTTCATATTTCCCGTAAACTAGAATATCCTACATCCCATAGAATATTTGTCAACACTAATCTAATATACTAGGTCTAACTCTACTCTTCTCCAAAGGTTCATGGGTTATACATTTGACCGTAGAATTAGAGACAAAGATTAAAGAATATTATTCGACCATGAAATTTACCATTTTTTGCCTTTTATCGTCAATTCAACTTGATGGTTATTCATGTTTTACTAGAAAAGAAAATCATATAACCACTAGGAAATATGCCACATACCTACGCTTCAGCCATTGGCATATTTTGAAATCAACGCTAGAGTCTCATTATACCACCATATGTATAGGGAGGTAGGTTTTTGTACATTATCATCATCTCCCTTTTTTACTCGCAACGGTTTGTGCGTAAGGAAACCAAACCCGCCTTCCTATTTCGTTCGTAATGTAACTTTTCAAACTGTAACCCGGCGTAGGTACTTGTCCATGTTGACTGTTGGAAATATGTCATGCATAAAACGCATGGGGGTAAGAACGAAGCATTTCAGGTACATAAATATGGAACAAGTACTTCTATAGCGAATATGCAAGAGTGGATAAAATGTCAAGAGGCCAATGAAGGAAGTAAGGGCGCAAAGGCGTAACCTCTATATTAGACTTCGAGACCACTTGGACTTCACAGTTCACTGCAGTAACGGATATGCAAGCAATTTTGCCAAAAAATTTAACTTTTCATTCTAATTCTGATAATGGTGTAATTCTAGTTTTTCTGGGCTAATAATTTTATTTTGACGTGGAAAGAAGTATACCTACTTGATAATATATTTTTCTTGATTATTAAGGGAGTATTAATTGTTCAATATGGATATTGTATTGTTAACATCACCAGGTGATGTTAATAAAACGTCTTAATATCTTAATTCCACTTCATTGATCCAGGAACTTGTACCATAATTGGCCGACTCATTTCATTTATTTAAGGAAACTACAATATCCTTCAAACCAAGAATCCGAATCCTTGGTATACCATAAACAATGCGTTTGGTTTTGAATCAACTTCTGTCCATTTTACTTTCCTATTGTTTTGTAACAATGACGAGATATCGCACATGATCTCAGGCTCGCAAAATAAAAATTAATGTTACATGAAATTTTATCATTTTGCCTGAAAAGAGCGAGTGGTTATCTATCAGTTCGTCGCATCCTAAATGCATCTTTATTACCTTCTGTTTGTATTTCGTCTAATTAATTAATTTTATCAGAATTGACATTATTTCGAAATAAGCCATACTTATTATAAGTCATAGGATGTACAGACGAACACTTTTTTATATTACATTCTTACTAAGGTTATCAGAGCAGTTCACTAAAAACCACTCTTAATTGTATTATCATCATGTAGTATACGATAAGCGCAACGCAGCGGTGGTCATCGTCTCCGATAACGACGAACGTTCTAGCCTTGATAAATGCAGTTTTGCTGTTTACGTCATTTAATTTCAAATCAAACAAAATGTTAGCAAAAAGGAAAATAGCGAAAACGAATCTGTTTGACTGTACACCTTTTCGGATATTCCGAAACTTTTTTTTGGAAATAGCATAAACTTCATTTATAAAAGTCTACTATAAATTATCTACAATAATAGAGGTATAAGTATATAGAAAGACCACTATACTGTATTATAATTACGTTAAAATAAAAGTATGATGTCTTACTGCATACATTAATGGTTTACACTGAAATAAATATTGCTATTAATTATTAATGAATTAAGTTTTTAAATTTATTTAAATTGGAGACGATATACATAGTGTGCAAATTATTAAACTAATAACTATACGCTGAATACTTATAAATTAAAGGGGAAGTTTGTATTAGGTATGCAGTTTTTTTTTACTTAATATTTACTTGAAGAGAACTAGTGCCATGTTACTTAATCGAATTCGTTTAAAGTGTGTAAAATATATTTTAAATAATTTAGTAATTTAGACATTGAAAAATGATACAGAAGATAACTATTTAAGATAATTCCAGTTCTTTTCCTTACAAATTTTAGTCTTATAAAGAAATACCTGACCGGCGCTGCCCGGACGGTTTGGAAACTACGACAAATCCGGGGAAATACAGACGAACAGTAACCTAACGCAGGAAGTAATTCTGTAGCAGTAACGGACTGCTTGGATATTGCACAACCTAACCTAAGATGAATTCGAAATTTTTAGTTTTTCTGTTATAAATACAGATCGCTTACTTAATAAATTATGAAATTTTAAAGTTTATTGTTAAATAAAAATGGTTCTCAATATTGTCAAGAAGCTTTTATTTTTGCAGGGGCTCATCGTGTGTCGACAGAAATGTACGTTCTACTTCTTTAACAAAATGGATCTTGATAATACGTAGCATCATGATGTCCATTTTAAATCGCTATAGAATATAGATGTGTGCTTTCGTAGTAATAAAATGTTCTTCTAAAGGTCATATTTGAGATTTATCCGTGCTAAATATTTGCTCAGAAAGGAAAACAAACTCTTAATCGGATTTCTTAACTAATCGTAAAAGAAAAATATATAGACGAAAGTTCTTACTGTTTCTTTTTCCTTTTTCTTGTTCCTCAATCCTTTTTCATACAAGTCGATCTTTTTAACGTGCAGATATTTCTGCTTAAAAACAATCTTCATTTTATTTTTGTCGGAAAAGGAAAAAAATGTTGCAACGTGCACCCGATTCATGCGAAAAAATAAAAAGTGTAGACAAACATCGACGTATTTCGAAATTAGCATTCGAGCGGCGAATAGCTAACCAATGCATGACCAAGGTCGACTAGTTATTCTGCCTTGCAAGCACCTTATTTGCATAAAGGCTTCAAGACTCGTGATGTGTTTAATTATTGTTTCGACGCTGATCCTCAATAAAATCTTTGATTAGCTGTCTCAGCAATGCTCCTCCTCAGAATTTTGATCAAGTTTTCTCAACTATTCTTACATTACTTTTATAGTGTCCGTACACAGAAATACACACTCTCATCAACTTTTGTAAAAAATTCACTATCTTCCTTTTCTGTATGACATTAAACCTTATTATGAAATTATAATAGAAAAAAAAATCATAACTAAAAATTTACCAACTATAATCATTCTAAGAGTAATTATTATAAAAATCAAAGCCAAGATAGGCACAAACGCCACTTTATTATAACATCCAACACCTACTAATCTCATCTATTTTGTTAGTTCATTATTCTTTGTATGATGCAGAATAATTAACATACAATCTAACTTGAAGAATCGTGCACTTCAATAAAGTAATGTTTTCCCCTATTGTCATTTTGATTTTTAAAATAATTACCTTGACGAAGGGATGAAAGGAAAATTTGCTTTTTTGCCACAAGTGCGACAGGTAGGTACTTTTCGAAGATCTAAAATTTTATTATCTTTATTTAGAGATGTAAATATTAGGAAACGAGTCAGACAGGAATGCACACTGTCACCGCTACTTTTTAATCTGTACATCGAAGACGCGATCAACATCAATAAAGACAGTACAACTGTAGTGGTAGATATACAGTATTAGCATCTAGCAAGGAGGACTTAGAGATAGCTTTACATAAAATGAATGCGGTATTGACAAAACAGTACTATATGAAAACAAATAAAAATAAACCAAAAATACTGGTATGCAAGGAAAGAAAAAGTAGGGAAAGAGCGAATATAAAGATAGGAGACGAAGTAGTGGCTGATATTAAGTATCTAGGAAGTCAGATAGGAAGGAGTTTCGGGATATAAAGCAAATTTCTATGTTCGTAAACGATTAATTTAAAAATTCGAAAAAGGTTGTTAAAGGTGTATGTTTGGAGCGCGGCACTGAACGGGTGCTAAACGTGGACGGTGGGCGCACCGGAAAAGAAAAGTGGTGTTATAGGCGAATGATGAGATACCGTGGATAGAGAAGGTTAGAAATGAAGAGATATTAGGAAGAGTATGAGAACAGAGGACTCTATGGAAGTCAATAAGAAATAGGCCAGACACCTTCTCCTTAGGTATGAAGGCAAAACATAAAAACAAAATGTCAAAAACCTCCAGTGGACTGAAGTTCTCTGGTAATCGTAGAAGCCGGCCATTTCCTTTAATAAAACTTATTCCTCCTCCTTAAACAATGAGATGTGTACGTTGAATGTATCTTATCATTATTATGAGAAATAGGCGAGATAGATTGGTAGGACACCTTGTCGGGCATGAAGGTCTGGTCAGAGACATATTAGAGGCAGAAACGAGAGTTAGGAGGGGTAGAGGTAGATTACTGTTCGCAAATAGCTAAGGTCGTAGGTTGTTCTAGTTTTAGGGAAATGCGAAAATTAGCTCAGGATAGGAAAGAGTGGAGATGAGTGTCTAACCAGTCTTAGGATTGATGATGTTGAATAAATTGCTTGTCATTACTAGAGATGCGCCGAATAGTGATTTATCCGGGTTGAAACGAGCCTATAATGTTTATTAACTCTAAAAGGTGACAAAATCATTCTAATAAGCTATCCTTAATCAAAATTTGATATTTCAACAAGCGAGAAAAATTGAACACAAGAACTACATTAACAAATAATTTAATATAGTAATATAGTAGTCAATAAATAATACAAATTAAAACAAACGACCTACCTTAATACAATCTTAATTATCAATTCTTTTATCCTA